GCCTTATTGTCCAACATTAATCAGACAATGCAACCCTTGCAGAGCTGTAAATGGATCCTTAGTCTCCAAAAGTTGATGTTGGAATCCTCTCAACTTGTGGAGTACCTGACATATTTCCAGGGTCTTCCCCACCCCTCCACACCCCTTACGTTCCAGGAGTCGCCTAACCATTCGGTTTTGGATAAAGGTTCTGGGATTAAAGGGGGCCTCCTTGGAAGCAGTTCATATGCTCAGTTTCATTGCAGGCCATTGCAGCTAAAAATTTTGGCTGCATGGGAAAAACAGGTTCAGTCCTTGGACCTCCTCTTTCACCTGCCCAACAAGACCACCTCCCATTGGTCTGGAAGGTGCTCACAACGGATGTCAGCCTATCAGGCTGGGGAGGAATCCTGCAAAATTTCATCTCTAATTTGTTGTCAGAATATCAGCTCCCTGTGAACATCCTGCAGCACTAGACCCCTCAGTTTACATGGTCGCCCAACCAGGATTTAACACCATGGCCATGGCTTAAATCGGCTATCAGGGAGGCACTGGAAGTCGCACAGCTAAAAGGGAAGTGGACCTGAATCTGACTTGGGCAGAAGGTCATGTCCCAGCTCTCTCAGCTGTACACATTGCAGGTGTGGAAAATTGGCAGACAGACTTCCTTAGTTGTCAATTCCTGGACCCCAGAGAATGGTCCCTTTACCCAAAGTTGTTTGCATCCTTTGTTGCAGGTGGCAGACGTCGGACATAGACCTCTTGGTGTCCAGATTCAACAACAAACTGGACAAGATTGCCACTAGGACCGGGAATCCTGCCTTCACAGTGGGTGCCTTGGTGACTCCATGTGATCAGTTCAGCTTGATATAAGCCTGCCCTCCTCTGAGACTCTTTCCTCGACTCCTTCGCAGGATCGAGATGGAGGGCATTCTTGTGATCCTTGTTGCTCCCAACTGGCCCAGGAGACTCCAGTATGCTGACATTGTTGAACTCCTGGCAGACTCTCCATGATTACAAATTCTCTCAGACCTCTTGTCTCTGGGACTGTTATTCCATACTGCTTCTTGGTGACTGGCTTTAATAGCCTGGCAGTGGAAGCCCAGGCCCTTAAGGTCAGTAGCCTTTCAGATACTGTCATCTCTATGCATTGAAGGCTAGGAAATTGACCTCCCACAAGACTCTTCATTCTACTTGGAAGGCTTACTTTGCTTGATGCAAAGCAAGGAAGTTTCATCCAAGTAAGTTCTTCATGGGGCACCTCCTATTTTTCCTCTTTTCTTGTCTAGAACAGCATTTAGCCTGGCGTACCATCAAGGGTCAAATATCTGCTTTGGTAATTCTTTTCTAGAGACCACTTGACTCTCATTCTCCAGTAAAGGTCTTTGTACTTTGTGCATGTCCCCCCATGTACGTGGTCTGGTGACTCTGGGAACTCAACTTGGTTCTCTTTGCTCTGCAGAAGCCTCCCTTTGAACCTCTCCAAGATATCCCTCTGACCCTACTTACTAGCAAGGTTGCATTCCTCATAATTATCACTTCTGCCAGGTGTGTTTCTTAGTTGGTGGCTTTGACCTGTAAACAGCCTTTTCCGGTTATTCACAAGGATACGGTGGTGCTGAGGCCCATGGCCTCCTTTATCCCTAAGGTGGTGTATGCATACCACCTTAACCAGGACATTGTTTTACCTCTCATGTCTTGTACCAAAACATCTTAAAGAATTTTCCCTCCACTGTTTGGACGTGGTTCAGGCTGTTTGAGTTTCTCTGTTCTGCAGCTTCCGTCCTCTTTATCATTCCTGAAGGTACCAGTTTTGGACAGCAAAGCTATGTGGCTTTGGTGAATTATCATGTAGGCTTATGAGCTGAAGGCTAAAGCCCCCCCCCCCCTTCTGGTTAAGGCTTACACTACCGGAAGTGTTAGTGCTGCCTTGGCCTTCCAGCACCAGGCTTTGGTTTTCCAAATCTCTTATGGGATCAGGAAGGATTTTTTTTTCCCCGTTCGAACAAATTGAACCATGCTTTAACGGGAGTTTTTTTTGCCTTCCTCTGGATCAACAGTGGGTAATTGTGGGCATAGCACTCTATTTGAGTTTTTTTTGTTTTTGTTTTGGGTTTTTTTTTTCTTATCTCTATAGGTTGAACTCAATGGATGTGTGTCTTTTTTCAACCTGACTAACTATGTAACGCTGCCACCTTGTCCTCTGTTTACACTTTTCTTTTGTAAAATTTTACCCAGTGGATGTTCAGGTCTCTGCAGAATTTTTTTTTTTTTCGCAACATTTTTCAGGCGGCCCTGATTTGTGGGCTCTTTCTGTTATAGGTTATTGTTGGGCTTTGTTTTATTTGAGCCTGTTAGCCTTTGTTTGATGCGTTGCCCGCCTCTGTTGGGATGCTTTTAGACATCCCATTGGTACCAGAGGACCACATGTACAGTTTGAGGTCCCATACGTTATACAAGGCAGATATGCTTTTATTTAGGTGATATAACCATGCATAATTGTGAATGGAGAAAGGTAGATATGAAGCCATTATCAAGCTTGTATACCAAAATACACAATTTTAGCCATAACATTCACTTTACACTGACAGGTGAAGAAAATAACATTGATTATCTCATTACAATGGCACCTGTACATGGGTGGGATATATTTTAAGTAGCAAGTAAACATTTTGTCTCTGAAGGTGATATGTTGGAAGCAGAAAAAATGGGCAAGTGTGAGGATTTGAGCTACTTTGACAAGGGCCAAATGTTGATGGCTAGATGACTGGGTCAAAGCAACTCCAAAACTGCAGCTCTTGTGGGATGTTCCCAGTCTGCAGTGGCCAGGACCTACCAAAAGTGGTCCAAGGAAGAAAAACCAATGAACTGGTGATAAAGTCATGAGCTGCCAATGCTCATTGGTGCACATGGAGAGCGAAGGCTAGCCCGTGCTGGTTCCAATAGAAAGGTGTGTGAACACACAATTTGTTGCGTATGGGGTCCCTTGCCCAAAGGGCTTACAATGGGCACGTTAGCATCAGTACTGGACCAGAGAGCAGTGGAAGAAGGTGGTATAGTCTGATGAATCATGTGTTGTTTTACATGATGTGGATGGCTGGGTACGTGTGTGTTGGTTACCTGGGGAAGAGATGGCACCAGCATGCACTATGGGAAGGAGGCAGTGTGATGCTTTCGGCAATGTTCTGCTGGGAAATCTTGGGTCCTGCCATTCATGTGGATGTTACTTTGACATGTACCACCTACCTAAACACGGTTGCTGACCAATTACACCCCTTCATGTAAATGATATTCCTTAATGGCAGTGGCTTCTTTCAGCAGGAGAATGCGGCCTGCCACACTTCAAATATGGTTCAAGAATGGTTTGAGGAACCCAACAACGAGTTTGAGGTGTTGACTTGGCCTCCACATTATCCTGATCTCAATCCAATCACGCATATGTAGGATATAATGGAAAAATAAGTGATTCAGAGAGGCACCAACTCTACAGGACTGCTACTAACTGCTTGGTGCCAGATACCACAGCATACCACTAAAGGTCTAGTGGAATCCATGCCTCGAGGCGTCAGGGCTGTTTTGGTGGCAAACGGGAACCTACTCAATATTAGGCAGGTGATCATAATGTTATGGCTGATCGTTGTATATATGGATATAATATCCCACTCTGGTGCATGTAAGTTCCCATTATACTTGGGGTGCAATATGATTCATATAACATCGGGGCCTAAGTTATAAATACAAGGCTAATAAAGATGTATAACTGCACAGACCCCATGTAGAGTGAACATATTTACTCTGAATATTAACATTTAAAGAAAAGTGACGCCAGTGAAAACATTTTGGATACCTTATCACAAAAAAACTACAGTGTGTCACTTTTGTACTCTGATCATTATTATACAGAATTTCTATAGTGCCAACAGTTTGCACAGCGCTTTACAATATAATACTATATTTGGAAGAATTTTAAATGATTTCAAAGTTATGCATGTTATATCTGTGCAACATGTATTAAAGGTTTACCCAGAGATTTCTTTTTGTTCTACCCTATATCCTCTAGGAAAGGGGTAGAGCAAGAATTAGATGACTCATAGTGCCTACACATTCAGCAGAGGTCAGATCCCTGGGAAGAGCCATGAAACATAGTTGCATTGAGTCACAGGCAGGCAGAAATGCAGAAATCTCTGGAAGCACTGGGGTTCTGCAGTCACAGAAAGGCAGGAGTGCAAGTCTCTGGGAACACAGGGAGGCAGAAGTGCAAGAGTCTCTCTGGAAGCACTCGGGGTGCTGAGATTACACGAAGGCTGCGGTGCAAGAGTTTCTGGGTGCACTGGGGTGCTGGGATTACAGGCAGGAGGCAGGAGTGCAAGAAAGCTCACTAGGACTACACAGGGGACATAGGTGCAAAAAGGCTGGATGCTCGCTGGGAGTGCACAAGGCCCACAGCGGAGAGGGGACCGGAGGGAGCTTGTGTACCGAGCTCCCTCTGATCCCCTGTGACAGAGGCAAACAACTCGCGGTATACTCAGACGCCGCAGTATACCGCGAGCTGCAGCTCGCGGTATACTGAGACGCCGCAGCTGAAGCGGAACCTGACAATTATGTCCGGATCCGCACAGCTGCGTGAGTGACTGCTGGCTCTGCCTATCTAGAGGCAGAGCCAGCTGTACCCGCCCCCTCCCCCGTCCGTTCCGCCAGTCAGCGCTGGAGGAGCGGGGAGGGGGGAATCCAGCCCCTCCCCTGTCACGGCAGAGAGCCGTGACAGGATCGAGAAGTGAGTGAACGCCGGTATGTGTTCGCTCACTTCCCGATCTACTGAGCCGACCTGTGACAGTCTCATTGTCACAGGTTGGCTAGAACTATGAGGTGAGTGAAAAGCACTCACCTCATAGTTCTCCTTTAATTCTAACTTTCATGTCGTGTCACTTTATTTGATCACTGAACTTGAATCACACACTGAGTCTGTTTACACAGCTTCAGTAAGTTTTTTTTAATTATAATTACACTTTTTCATCTCGCAGATTTCTGAAGTTGCAAAGGCAGTCGGTAACTGCAGCTACAACCAGCTGGTAGAGAAGATTATTTCCTGCAAGCAGTCAGACAACAGTGAGCTGGTTAGTGAAGGTGGGTGAGTGACTTTGATTACTATACTTACATTTCAGTTTTCCATAAAGATAAAAACATTATTTTTTTTAAATGCCCATGCATGTGTCAGTTCTCTGTAAGTTGAAATAAACAGAGCAATACATTGCATGGCTACAGCAACTGTATTATAACATTAAAATACTGATAACATGCAGGTGTAGATATTTTAATTGGAGAATACAAATTTTAATTTTTAAGCTCAATTTATAAATAATATATTCATACCTATGACTTGAGTCACGATTTAAGAAATTTAAAATTGCCGCCTAGGGGCAAGGAACAGCGCCGGTGCGACCTCCTTCTGGGTGCTGTATTGCGCAAGCACCCACCTTTTTTCCCTTTCTGGTGCATGCTTCTAGCTGGACACAAGAAGTGTACGCAGTCCCTACCCTGTACCCTGCCATTTCTTGCTTAAAAAGACCCTTACAGTCCCTGTAGAGGATTTACCTGTTTTCAACCAAGCGGACAAGAGGTTAGAAGCCCTCTTTAATGTCTTATTTGCCCGGCCACGCAAACCAGCGGTTGCCTCTTTGGCAGTGTCAGACCTTGTCGGTCTGGTCCAGGACTATGGCAAGGGATTCTGGTTGTATGGCTATATAATGTAGTAGATAAGGTTAGAAAAAAGACACAGGTCCATCTAATCCATTGTGTATGGGAGAGCGAGTGAGATTAAAGGAGAACTATGAGGTGAGTGCTTTTCACTCACCTGATAGTTCTAGCCGACCTGTGACAATGAGACTGTCACAGGTCGGCTCAGTAAATCGGGAGGTGAGCGAACACATATCGGCGTTCGCTCACCTCTCGATCCCGTCAGAGCCAGCTGTCAGTCACGCAGCTGGGCGTATCCCGGCATAATTGTCGGGATCCGCTTCAGCTTGCGTCTTCACGATGGATTCTAGACTTTTGGACTGGGGAGGAGTCCAGCATATTCTCTCAGTATAGGGAACTTGGTTGTCGGAGGAAGCCAGGCGCAGCATCAACCTTTTGCCTGTCCCTTCATCATTGGACATCTCAACAGTGAGGGCATCCAATCAAGATTCAGTTGGATAACGTCACGGCGGTTGGCATAACCAGTTCCAGCCTTGTCTGGTGTGCAGATTCCATGCATGGAGAATTGGCAAGCAGGCTTCCTCAGTTGTTAAGATCAGGATCCAGATGAATGGGCTCTCCACCCGGAGGTGTTCCAAGAGACTTGTTGCAGGTGGGGAACATTCGATGTGAAGCTTTTGGCATCCATGTTCAACAACACACTGGACAGGCTTGTCGCCAGGGTAAAGAATCTTTGTGCTTTTACAGTGGATGCTGTGGTGACTCTGTGGGATCAGTTCATTTTGATCTATGCCTTTCCTCCCACAAAGGCTTCTCATTTGTCTGCTGCATAGGGTCATGTTTGAAGACATCCCTGTGATTCCCATGACACGGGACTGGCCTAGCCGGGCATGGTACTTGGAGATTCTCAGTCTCCTGGCAGACTCTCTCTGGGCCTTCCCAGATTGTTTAGATCTTCTTTTCCAAGGACCAGTCCTCCAATCTTCTCAGTCCTGGCTTTGAAGTTGAAGTCCAGTCCTTGAGAAGCAAAGTGCAGAATGCAAAGGGGTAATTACTGCAATTGGAAGATTCTTTGATGAATATTAACTTTGATGACTCAAACAGGTATATATAAGTTAAAGAATTTGATTACATTGTTAATATATTCACTATCATTTCTGATCAGTTTAATTTAAAGAAACATCTAATGATGCATGCATATGGCCATAAGAAATTTACTGATCATATATGGAAGTTTTTTTCTGGCCAAAAAGTTCCCACGTAAATTATCCATAAAATGCTTGCATCCAGATGAATTTAGACAGGTAAAAACACATATGAGTTTAAATGCGTAAAATTCTTGCTCCACTCCTCCTCCTTTGTTTTCAATATAATTTTCTTCTTTGGACTTAATTTATGTACTTGGAGGCAGATGCCTCCACTTTCTTTTTTAATTTTGTTATGGACCTGAATGCAGCACATGTTTACGCGTCTGTGTACATGTCCCCTATTCACACGGCATAGGTAAAAATAATTTGAAATATTCCTTACCCTTTTAGGTTACATGCACACAGTTGTAAAAAACACAATGCACAACTTTTGTTTCTTAAATTTTAATGGATCGGAACACAGGTGTATTCATTTGACTTTTGGACATTCATACATGCGTCCAGGTAGTATGTACCTCCATGTAAATTTCTGTGGGGATATGGGGTGCTTACTTTATGAGAGGTCCGCCTGCCCCAGCCACCTATGGCTGGTCTTGGGTCAGGCACCTGCCGTGGTTCCCTATGCAATGCCCGTGGGCTTGTTGCAGCACAACCAACCCAGGACACTCTGTACTTGAGGTTGCCCCTGTCACTTTGCTGTGGACATTTTTCATTTAGTTGGTGTTAGTTCCATCCATCCATCAGGCTATTGGAAGGGGTGGTCTCTGGCGCTCTGGACGTACTGCTGGCTACAAGCATCTCATTGCTGGGCACCTGTGGGCATATGGACCTTGCTGATTGGTTGGTGATCAGGATCTATCTGGATGTTGTGAGGCCCTTTGTAAGACTGATCCTCTTTTTGTAATCACGGACAGCATTTGTAAGGGTCAGGTCACCTCATCGGAAGTGATCTCCAGATGCATTTGACAGGTTATCATTCAGGCTTATTTTCTTCAGGGTCTGCAGTCTTCAATTTGTCACTGCTGATTCCACTAAAACGGTGAGTGTGTCCTGGGCTTTCCATCACCAGGCTTTAGTTTCTCAAGCTAGATTTGGGTGTAAGATCTTGCAGGCGGCAGTGTAATCCGCCTTTTTTTTTTTTTTTGCACCAGATCGTTCTTTTTCTTTTTGCTTACCCATCTGTGGACACAGTTTTGGGATGTCCCAGTGGTCAAGATCTACGGACCTTCGCTGTGTCCTTCAATAAATGGACAGACTGGAGGGTTTAGTTCTATTTTAATGAAAAAAAAGGTTTGGCTTCATTATATATTCTTTAAGGTAGAATATTGCTCACTCACTAAGCAGTTGTTGTAATCCTGGTGTAGTGTCTCTTCCCATTTGCATGGAAAACACTCCACTAACGCAGGCAACAGAAGTCAAAGGAGAAATTCAGAAACCTAAACTCCAGTCTACCACTGAGGATCTTTTGGACTTCTGCTTAGATCGCTGTGGTTAATGTAGACCTGCTACATTAAGCTACACATACAGCTGAGGTATGCAACTAGCAAACATACCTACTAAATACCAGATTTCAAAAGATCCTTCAGAACCAACATAAAATTATTCCCTGGCATTGTTTATCCTGGCTTCCAGTGAGAATCTTCTACCAAGTGGAAGACATGCAGCACTTTCAGTTCCAAAAAGGACACCATCAACATTGTCACTAAGCCTTAAATTGCAGAACTGTCACATGTGCACCCTGGGGCTATCGGCTTCTAGTGGCACTGTAGGATGCATCCTTTATTCCAGTCTGCAGAAGTGGTTGTGGCAAAACATAAGAGTTTATTGCAATATCCCTTAAAGTGTATTTCCACTTTTGTAGTCAAAATGTGTTTCCTATGTTTTGATGGACCAGTACATTCTCCCATGTTGTGTCTTTGAAGGTGACCCTGAAAAAATATTTTGAAAATTTGCAGATATAAAGATGTTTCTTATCGTATAATGTACCCTGATCTAATTACTGCTTTGCTGACTCTGTTCTAGGCTATGATGCTGAACGGTTTTTGAATGGCACAGCCACACAGCTGACGTACCACGGGCTAAGTGAGGTGACTTCAACCCTTCAGGAGGGAGAGCTATGTGTATTCTTCAGGAACAATCATTTTAGCACTATGACCAAATATAAGGTAGGGCTTCTTTTTAATGTTTTATTGCAATCCATTCTAACTAGTTAAATATTGTGCACTCAGAGGGAAACAACTACAATGGTTTTGGGTCAATTCTTTTTTTTTATTAGTAGTTATTTTTAAGTTGAAAAGTTTACAATTTTTAGTATTGCAACTTTTGTGTTTAAAAAAAGAAAACTTTATTACATTAGAAATTATTTCCAGAGCATTGTGGCTTATCTAAAGAGACGGCAGCCTGGGACTGAGCTGTTTAATAGATGAGATACTAAGAAGAGTCATTTAGTTTTGTGTTCAAATATCAACTGGATCTTTGTGAATAAGTTTTTTCTTTTTTTTTTGTGAAAAAATGGCCAGCGCAGCCCGATGGTGTGAACGAGCCCTAAAAGAGCTGAGAACTCCACCTGTTAGCTAACAAAGTACAAAATGATTTATATTCCAGTCTTGAATTTATGGATTTGTGAATCACACCTCATAGATCACCTGTTGGTAAAACCACACAATGGAGAATGGCTTGTGTGATCCTTCACATTTGTTTGTACAGTGGCAGATAGGTTATCAATGAATCAATGGAATGGAAAGGTTTTATTTTAAAAAGTTCATTGGCTTGTTGATAATGAGGGAAACGAGGAACTAGGAAGGCCATAAGCAGATTAAACGTCAGCTTTTATTATACAAGTTGCATAAAATGTATATGACCAGTAGAATTAAAAAGACCATAGCTCCCATTTACAATGGGTGTTCAAGTGGCTGCCTGCACTGTCAATGGGATTACTGGACCAACAATTAATAGAGTACAGGAAAATATCTCAGCAGGACTGCTTTCACTTTGGGTTGACTTCTGAACCTATTCTTTGTATGCCTATAAATGATAGTGCTTGCTTTTATATAATTTAAGCTATTGGTTAATTGATTGCCAAATCTATCTTGCAAAATTAGGCAGCATTAAAAAACCTAGCATTTAGGGTCGTCTCTGGGTATAATGGTAGCAAAATGTACTCAGTGAAATTCTTTCACACAGAACTTACCATATTTAGGTTAAATGCAAGTGCAAGAGTGAAGGCTTATTTCCATTGCCTATATTCTGTGCTTCTTTAATAAGTGTGTTTTATTTTATAATAAAAGCACATTTCCCATTACTCCCCCCACTTCTCCTTCTCAAGAAATAAATGGCTCTGCAATTAGCTGATCATGTAAAAAGCCTGAGCAAAGCAAATTTCAGGATCCCCGTTGACTGCCATTAAAATATTAATTTTTCATTGAATAAAGAGAGGTGACATTTTACGGTTTTACAGCAACAACAAAAAGTCGTATAATTGAATGTAGATATGGTAGTGTATTTTTATATCTGTGTGTTCCTTGTCACGGAAGGAGAAGTGTCATTGCTGAACATAAGTGCTGTTTTAGCTCATGGACTCTGATTCTCTGCAGTTTTGTTTTAATACTGCAGGAGACATTGTCTGCTGCAAAACGACCTATATAATAGAGCCCGTTTCTGCTGAGCAGACCTTGCAAATTGTGAATTATATGCTATTTTTCAAAGCTATAATTGCTTCTCTCTGACTTACTGCTGCACAATAAAATGCTGAAAAGGCTCTCTGCCAAAATACCTCCTAGGATCTTTCTATCAAATTATCACATAAACAACACCGTGTTCAACATAAATTGTAAATGTTAAAGAAAGGGAACAAAAGAAAATACAAGTGCAGTTTTAAATGGCTTTACATTTTCATTTCTGTACCAGTGCAAGATTTTTATTTTGTTGGAATATATTTTTGTATTCGCACAAATTGTCCTTCTCTGACATACAATATACAGTATAGATTGATTTATTAGCCAGTCTGGCTGGCAGATTGTCATTTTTGGTAGGTCATTTGCTTTGTCATTTTACCAGCCTATTCTCTACACAGGCACATGATATTAAACAAACTTGTTTAAGACAGAACAATTGAACAATTTGAATGCAGCTCTCTTTGGGAAATGTAAGTCACAAGTAAACATGTGCTTGTATTAGAAACTAAAGGAAAGCCTTGATAAAAGTTAAGTTCTAGCTGAAATTGTAGGCACAATGACCACAAACATGCTTTCTGGAAATTTCCACTCTTGAATTTATGGAATTTTTATGGAAATGAAACCTGTTAGTTTGGATTTTTGAATCACATCTCATATATCACACAATAGAGAATAGCTTGTGTGATCTTTCACATTTGTTTGTGCAATGGCAGATATCAGTTTATCATTTAATCAAACCTATGCTTAGCATCAGCAGTTGGTGAAATTGGGATACTTTGAGTATTCAAAATAAAAGTCAAATATTGTTGGATAAGTCAACTCAGAAACATTCATATACAGAAGTTGGGCAGCCTCTGCCTGATGTTTTTCTTACACAAAGTCTTTCAGCAGGCAATGGAATAGTAACTGATCATCCGAAAGACCTCTATGGTAGATCATAGTTAGTTGAGAGCAATGTGTAGTCATTGGGTATGGACTAGCTCTGTGGAAATCATTATATTGTTAAAGTTTAGCTCCAGTCCACCAAGCACTGTAAGCAGCAGAATTGTGTCCCTACAGTTATTTTCAAAAGGGATTTTTGAAGATAAAGTTGTCTGGTATTAAAGGCAGCAATAACACCTTTTCTCTAAGCAATATATACTGTAGCGCAAGTGATAACACAGCGCTAAAGGTGGATTCCGTAAGA